TATGATCATTTGCTTGAATAATTATTACTTAATTTCATTATCAAAAGTAGTTCCCCAGCAAATTTTCTGGAAAAACCGGAAATAATAGAACTGTGACCAAAAATAATGTTTAGAAGATTGGAAACAAGTCTGGGATGAAATCCCTTTGCATAAGGCTACACGAGCTTTCTGTATGAGTTTCCCATATCACAAGTTTTCGATCTCGTCCGACTCTAACTATGAATTGCTCATGCGAGTGCTGTTCTCGATTGCTCGAAGTTTTCAGATTAACAAAGCATTCAAGTGTTAATAATTGATGATTGTACTTTATTTCATTTATAGACGACACGACCGCAGTAATTATTTGTAACTGATCCTTTTAACAAGGGTAGTTCTGGTGAGTTTCTTGGATTAAGGCGAATTCATCATGGCTCATGCAGCAGTGGACCCAACAGCCGTCACCATGAACATGAATGGCAAGACAGGGAAAGGTTTCGCTGATCGTCGCCGAAGTCTAATCAAAAGTGTCCTAAAAAATATTGAGCCGGAGATAGTGTTCGGCCAAGAATTGCCTGGGAAGTTTAAAAAAATGATTGACGATTTGACAACTGAAAACAAGTGGGACGAGTGGGACTTTGTGAAAGTAGGAAATGAAGCAGGCGTCATGTGGGACACATCGAAATTCAAGGGTACAAAAGATGGTTTCAGATCCACAGATCGAAGAATGATAAAGATCAGAGAAGACTTAGGAAAAACAGAAGCAAGCAACCTTCTTTCCCGAGCTGCATTTGTTAAGTTAACACGAAAAGACGACAATACCAGCTTCATTGCAGTGTCATATCATGGTGAATACAAGACCAAGAAACAAAGGGAAATATTCGACTGCCTCGTTGATTTTTTAGAACGATTAAGTAAAGAGGAGAAAAATATCCCTTTTCTTATTGGTGGAGATTTTAACTTCAACACTTTAAGTAGCCCTCAAAAGAAAGTCACTTTTGCAACGTATAAACTGTTGCCTCGTGCAAGTGAAAAAGGAAAAATACAATATAAGGATAACTTTTGTTGGTCGAAGAAAGAACCAAGTGATGAGAGTGATGGTCACAGGTCAAGAGAGACAGCTCAAATGAGATCATTGTTATCATCTACAGATATTCCAGATACTATGAGCCGACAGTTGGAACGGGCTGGACTGCAAGGGATGAGTTTATTTAATGTTTTTGAAGCGCAGAGTCATCGTGATGTGAAGAAGCACAGCTCTAGAAGTGGTCCATTTATTGAAATGCCCGATTTGATTGAGGTTAGTCCATCGAAAGCTACAGCGAAGGTATCGCAGACACGTAAGAATTCCCGGCTGAAAATGACAACTAATAAAGAACCCATTGCCATGCGTGATGTGTATGCTTACGATATTGGGAAAGACAATTATGAACTGCTTGACCATGATCCAATTTATGGAAAACTTCACCTGAAATAACCAGAGCAGGAAAAAAACCCATTACGCTTTTAAACATTCACGTGCTTTTAAAACTTTGTTCTAGTCATAATCGTGTGCGGCTACAAGTCCTCATAGAACTGATTATGGATCTTGAATGAATGTTAATTTCCCAGGGAGTAAACTAAATGATTAGATTATTATCTACCATCCACATAGTTCAAGCACTCGACGAAGTCCATTGGGTTACTAGTTCGTATTTTTAGTGTGAGGTCTCATTGACTACCAACCTTTACACGAGCGTGGTTATGAATATTATACTAATAAAAAATAATAGATTAACAAAGTAGATTAATAGAGATAAATAAATTTTTATTCTAGACTAGATTTCTAATTCATAAATGTAAAAAAGCTTGTAGTTAGTGCTAATTCATATTATTGGACGGGTTAAACTAAGTTATAACAATTGTATCAAATGTTTGTACTAATATATATTTCCATTTTAATAGTGTCTTAATTCTTTATATTTTTTAGTCGCAACGAGGTAAAGACAGATTATTTTATGTACAAATAAATAGCTAGAATTTGTGCTTGTTTAAAAGAACCAATAAATCAATAAAAACATAATAAAATATTGTCATATATTTTCTTTTCTGCAACCATTCGAAAGCTGGAAAGCATGATGGGATGTGTAGTCCTTGCACTTACAATGTCCACTTAAACAGTCTAGCTGTAAGTTGAGCCGTTTCTTCAAAGAAAGCTTTTAGGGAGATTTCTTGTGAGGACTACAACAACCATAATGCTTTGCTGTACAAAATGGCGTCGCTGCACATAATGACCCCATCCCTACCCCCCACGGGCCGCTATACGCAGTCTATGATGTTCTTCTGTTCACTTCTTTTTTATTTTTCCTGGTCGCGAAAACGAGTGATAATTTGCTGATTTTTCCAGGCAAGTTCTTGGCCTTGGTGAAAGACGATCTGCAAAAGAGCTTTACGATTGTATTGGTAAGAGCAATAACGTTGGAGTGAAAACATTGATATTAACTAGAAGATATGATTTGTTTTCTTTGAGAAAAGATGTTGAAAAAT